GAGAGAGGCAATTGTAGTAAAGTGTCTTGCCCAAGAACAAAAGCATCAGCGCAATCTGGCCTCTACCCTCACAGTTACCCATTTATACTCCTGGGTGGAGAGAGGCAATCGTAGTAAAGTGTCTTGCCCAAGAACCCAAGCATCAGCGCAGTCTGGTCTCTACCCTCACAGGTACCCATTTATACTCCTGGGTGGAGAGAGGCAATCGTAGTAAAGTGTCTTGCCCAAGAACACAAGCATCAGCGCAATCTGGCCTCTACCCTCACAGCTACCCATTTATACTCCTGGGTGGAGAGAGGCAATCGTAGTAAAGTGTCTTGCCCAAGAACCCAAGCATCAGCGCAATCTTGTCTCTACCTTCACAGGTGCCAATTTATACTCCTAGGTGGAGAGAGGCAATTGTAGTAAAGTGTCTTGCCCAAGAACACAAGCATCAGCGCAATCTGGCCTCTACCCTCACATGTACTCATTTATACTCCTGGGTGTAGAGAGGCAATTGTAGTAAAGTGTCTTGCCCAAGAACACAAGCATCAGCGCAATCTGGCCTCTACCCTCACATGTACTCATTTATACTCCTGGGTGTAGAGAGGCAATTGTAGTAAAGTGTCTTGCCCAAGAACACAAGCATCAGCGCAATCTGGTCTCTACCCTCACAGGTACCCATTTATACTCCTGGGTGGAGAGAGGCAATCGTAGTAAAGTGTCTTGCCTAAGAACACAAGCATCAGCGCAATCTGGCCTCTACCTTCACAGGTACCCACTTATACTCCTGGGTGGAGAGAGGCAATTGTAGTAAAGTGTCTTGCCCAAGAACACGAGCATGTTCCCCATTAGGGTTCGAACCCATGTTCCACGGCACACAAGTCGATCACCGTAACCACTGGACCACAGCGCCCCACATTTCTGTTTACAGCAAGAAAAATCACCAAAAAAAATTAATTAAAAAAAAAATGAGGCATTGCCTCGCCCGCTACACCGGGAAGACAACTCCATGCAATTTCCAACTCCATGAATTTTGATTCAGTGCACTGCTCCCACTCTCCAAACGGTCTGCCTGCCAAATATTCAAGAACTTAATGTCTTGCTCCCCTACAGGCTGGAGGGTGTACATGTAGGTCAATAATGATTGATTTCTTTTTCTTGGATTCCGTAACTGAGCTTAGCTTCATCCTCCTTTCTTGCTCGTATACAAGCTTCACCCTCCTTCCTTGCTCGTATACCTAAAAGTGTTTTTATTTGAAAATTATTCATTAAATTATTAGCCTACTTTTTGCAGACATTGTCCTGCATTTTATGTACATTTTTTATATTCTTATTTTTGGAAGTATGTACACAGTGCGGTCTTCGTGTAGCGAAGCCTATAAACAGTGCAGAAAATGCAGCATTAACTGTTACGAATGCACGAAAAAAAATTAAAATAATAAACCCTCATCCCTATTTTTTGGGGGCTCTAAAAATTTAAAGGCAAAAACAAAACACCCATGATCCACTTTTTTTAAAAATAAAATAGGTAACACAGCATTCTTTTCTTGGCCTGAAATTATTTTACAATTTCAAAGTAATTCTTTTCAACTATTGCAAATTTTGAGTGTAATGCCATGGTGTCACATTGACAAACGCTGACAGAAAACAATACTTTGTAAGTTACATCCCTTTAAAGTCAGTCAGCCAGTCAATCCCTTGTCTCTACAATCAATGTATGGCTGGCTGGCAGGTCTGTCTGTCGGTCAGCTTGTCTCTCTGTCTGCATATCACATCAAAAGCTGTCGTCGACTATCCGCAGCTCAATGTTTGCCTGCCTTTTCCAATTTGTCAGCCCCTCAGTTTATCAATCCCAACTCTGTCCCCCAAAGTGAAAATTTTCTTTCGCGTCTTCAACTCCATTATTCCTGCCGTCATTCATTTCGTCTCCGCATCACCTGTGTCCTGAAATAGACTCTCCCTGCCCCGGAGCCTAGAATATCTCCGTTCCGTTGGCACGCTGTTTTGAAGACTATAGAGACCATTTATTGGTTTGTGAATGCGTCTAGCCACGGATTCCACAGAGGCAGGTGTTTGGTGCTTAATTGAATCCGCCACACAGAAAACGGCAGGCAGGAATCTACCATCATAGGCTCAAGAGATCAATAAACTTATTGAGCTGAAATTCATAACAACGTTATAAGAGGACTGAACAAAATCTAAAAGGTTGCTCATAAACAACTAGGTATTTTACAATAAATATGACGGTATGTACTTTCTTCTCATTGTCTTGTCTCTAAAGGTTACTTGAGGCTTGCGAGCTACAATGCCTAGGGCGCTTGAGGAATCCTTGGTTAGGAAAGTCTAGAGTTGAGTGCATATATATTCAAGTATTTTCAAATGAAATTGGAAATGTTGCTCAGTCCCAGATTCATGTCTTCTCAACATTTCTGCAATGACTGACCTTCATTGAGATAATATACAATGAAAAAATTGCGTCAGGATGCAACATTCTTTCCCTTGTTTTCATTACCAGAAACAAAGTAGCATGGAGCGCAATAATACCAACAATTCAATTCAATAACATTTACTTCAATAGTGCCATTTTTTTTTTTTACAAATATGTACACATGTTTTTAAAAATGATATAAAGAATACAATGATATTGCATATATGTACACAATGATTTAATAAAGTAGCGAGCTAAATTACGGGACCCAAAGTTAGTCTACAATAGAAATCTCCGCAGCCCACAATTGTGTTTGAGATATACAATAGAACCATAGGCCAAGGTCTACTTTACAATAGCCGCACTTCATAATGTTGCATAAGTGCATGTCTGGGTGGGGCATTCAACCATGAATCGCTATAAAGCAGCTTTTCTGCATGAGTGTGGTGTGTGCGTTCATCCGTTGATCAAGGCAATTATATTTCCAAATGGGAAGCGCAGGCAAGTGTATTAGGCCAGGCGGCTAGTTTGTCATCTATTACTCGACAAAATGTTTGCGTCGCTGAGCACGGTTAAAATTCTATTTCAAGTTCTCTGTCTCGCCAAACACTGAAAATGGATCATCACTAGCACCCAAATTGCCCACTCATAGGGACAGAACTTGACGTGATGCAAAACCTAATCAAGCATGTCTCATTGTTAGGCCAAAAAAAAAAAATTGTCGGTCTCTGGTCAGACCGAAGTTCCGGAACTGATGCGGCGATGCGGTTTTTTGGGGGGTTTTTTGGTGGCTTTTTTTTTTTAAGCTTGTATTGTACAGACAAGGTGGGTACTATTTTGCTTTTTTGTGTCCTCATTATACATTGGTGTCCTCCATAATATGCCTTGGTGCCCTTCATCATTTGCCTTGGTGCAATTTCCCCATTCATTGGTGCTCCTTGGTACAAACATTTGAGGAGGCGCGCAATAGAGGGCGCTGTTGTAGCTTCCGTGTTAATTTGAAGAAAAAAAATTGACGTGCGCGCTGACCAGAGACCGAGTATTTTTTTTTTTTGGCCTTAGGCCTATAGTTTTGGAAAAGCTTTTTTAATAGAAGCTTTTTGATGATGGGGTTACAACTTCTTGGTTATAAATAAGCATGTGTAGTGAATTCCTCCCTTTCTTTTATTAAACGGACCGGTGTGTGGCAAATAAAAGACTTTGTTGCGTGCAGAAGACGCACGTGTTTCTTTTCTTTTCATTTAAAGGGAATATACAACATTTGCAAACATCGAAAAATAAAACTACCAAGTTTTTACGAAATACCTTACTAGGATGTTGGTAAATGACAGTCCAAAGCATCCTGTAAAATTATGGCACCTGGTGTTTTTTTGTGTGTGTACATTTCCAACGGTGGTCTGCCGACCACCGTTGGAAAAACCAAACTATTTTTCAACTACTGCTCTAAATTTACAATTTTTTGGGTCCAAATTTTGTTTGCTATTGGTTACATGTTCATGAACAGGTGCAGGCCAGCTAAACTGGTTCCCTTACCTTACAAATTTCCGGCATCTATAAATCGATCCATTTTATCTTTAGTGGAGTCAGGGAATCAGACTACTTGAACATTTTTGTTTTTCTTGGTTTTTCCAGCATTTTCGAACACAAAACTTCAAACATGTCAGTGTAACAATATTTGATCTATTATACTAACCCCTCAAATAGATCATTTCTGAAAATTACAGCAAAAGCCAATGATGTACATTCCCTTTAAATGATCTATTACATAACAGCAGTATAAAAACATGAATCGTTACCACGCGGGCACAGACACTCCGCTCTACTCCAGCCATCAACAACGACAGCAATTTTAGCAACATTTATTGTACATCTAGTTTATTTTAATCTTCAACTCCAGTAAGTCATGTTTTCATAACTTTATATACTTACCTGAAATATTTTGACTTACTATGACAGATGAATAGGACTGGTGTCTCACCATGAATGGAAGGGAAAGAGGCTAAACTACCTATTAAATATTACCAGAAATTATATTTTCTAAGAAAAACCTGAAAATGTTGGTAGCGCCTGTATCACAACTCCAGTAAATTATCATAATTTATGTTTTTCCTCTGAATCATTGCAAGACACTTAGGTTCTCGTTCTCTTTCAATTAAAATTACCTCGATGATAAAACTCAGGGAAGAAAACTAGTTCATGAAAATGAGCAGCAACGACGTGGATGCGAACCAGGGATCTTTGTATCCATAGCTCATCCTGCTATCCACTAGGCTACTGTGTGGTAGCTCGACGACAACCATTTAAAAAAATGCTTTAAATAAAACCCAATGGGTACCCCTAGAACTATGGGTATTACTTGTATTACGAGTAATTTAGATAGTTCTAGGGGTACCCATTGGGTTGACTAAATACCTAACAATGCTCTTGATATCACTGTTCTATTCTCATGAATAAACATACTTGCCTGTTGACTTAGGAATAAATTATCATAAGTGGTACCACTGGAGCTGTGATGTTCACTCACGACGTGATTATGAACTGAGTGTTTACTGTTGAGTGGTACATTTTCCCCTACATCTTGAGTTCCTACCTGTTCTCCTGCCAGTCGAACCAATCGAGGCTTTCCCGGGCAAGCATCATCACTCCTTCCCCCGGTCCCTCCAGATCCAGATTCCACCTTACAGGTTTTTCTCACATGGTCATTCTCATCTGGCTTTTTGTAAAACCTTTTATGATCCTCTTGTCCATCCTCGAGACTTGGTAGCCCCGATGATGAACCAGAGTCGACATTGCTTGAAAGTCCCTCGTGACCTTCCGCTGACAAAACAGCCAGTGAACCCACGAGTACGATGAAGAGGAACGCAAGCGGCCGCGAGGCAAGCGAAGCCTGCCGTGGATTCAACGCGGAACACCCCTCCATGATCATCTGGTGGTCCGCTCCACGAAGAAGTTTCGTCACGGTACTTCGCCCACTACCAACACCACAGACTACCGAGAAAACACGTCTATTTCTCAGCCACCACGCCTCGCATCAACCGTATAAAAAGGATCGCAGGATGCGGTGTAAGCCTGCAATTGTTGAACGACACGTGCAAACAGTTTATCATCAGCTGGCGGAGGAAAACGGCGCGGAAAAGTTGACGAGCTTAAACGCCTGTCCGATCCGTCGTCATCAGCTGATGACTGCAGCACATTATCGAGTCGAGCGCGCGCTCAGCACGTACACGTGTTTACATTAGAGCGCCACCAAGTGTCCAAGCTGCGAAACAAAACACACGTGCATGCATAATTACCGTGCCATACTGTACTGTACAAGTGTCGACGGGCATGGTCGGCTGACGTGACTTTGTCAAATTTATAATCATACTTTACTCTTTAGAGTTGAGATGGCTGGCGAAGATTTACCCGTTTCCAAACAGGTAGAGTTTGAACGTTTTTGTTTCAAGGGGGATTACGCAATTTTCAACTGCTATTGCTAAAGCAAAAAGTGCTATAGTCTAAGTTAGTATAGTAAAATGTATTGTTAGTGTATTAGTGTTACGGCATTGCAAAAAATGCGACACCATTGTGAATCTAGACTATATCACATTTAACTGCCCGTCCAACCTACCCCTAGAACTATGGGTATTACGTGTAATACCCATAGTTCTACGGGTACGTCCAACCATGGAGCTATAAAAAGGAACCAGAGCGTTCAACTAGGCTTAGCTAATGCGTCTGGTGCCGTGTTGACATCGTTGCAGCTTTGTATTCAGGAGACGGGAATCAGACTTAATGCAACTTCGGACTTCAACACAAATAGGACTTTTAACATAATTTTAACATTAAATTAAGTCACGTTGATTTTTCGTGGATTGTTTTGTTTGATGACAGGGAGCAGCCACAATTGATGGGATTCACACAGACGTCGTGTGTACCGCCTTCAAAGACAGAATATTTGTCGCGATAACACAGTACGAGAAACTAGGAACAATTGTAAGTGATTCAATATAGATCAATTTCATGGTAAAAACATACTTAGGAGTTATGGACACCTCTTTTCAGTTTTAACCCTAAAAGGACCGGGGTGCGGGGGGGGGGGGGGGGGTCTTCCTAGCTTTTTCCGCAATACCCTTGCAAAAGAAGTTTTTCCCGACCCGAGCTGTCCTGACTTTTTAGCCTTGAGTCTTGCGCATCTTTTGATAACAAAAACATAAAATTCTGACCATGGGTTACCATGCAGCAAACTTTTTTTCTGTATAGTAGTGTTCACAAAGCAGAGTTACCATTGGTGCATATGAATAATAAATTAGCCGCATATGAATAATAAATTAGCCGATAATTCCAAACCCTTTAACCTATGGTTCTTGGATACCTTAATTCATATTAAGTTGTTCTATGCACCGAGTTTCATAATTTTCGTCACTCAATGGCCAAGATCTGAAGGGGGTGGGGCAGAATCCCCCCTCCCCGAAATCTGAACAGGGCTGGGCTTAAACCCCCCCCATGCAAAAACCCCTTACGTCATAAGGACAGGTCCTCTAATTGGGGGGGGGGGGGGGGTGGCAAGTGTTGTGTACATGCTGAGTAGGCAAGGCTTAGGGAATGTACAACATTTGCTTTTGCTACAATTTTCAGAAATTAATGAATTTGGAGGATCAGTATGTTATAGCAAATATTGTTACACTGACTTGTTTCACGTTTTGGGCTTGTAGTGTTCTTGTAGTCTGGTTCCCTGACCCCACTTAAGATGAATCGGAGCAATTTATAGACTTTGGGGAATTGTAAGGTCAGAGAATCAGTCTAGAAGGCTTGTACCCCTTCACAGGTGTGTTATCAATTGCAAAGAAAATGCGGAATAACTAATTAGGAAAAAGTAGGAGCAGCTTTTGAAAAAAGCCAGTTTTCTCCAAAAACGTCGGTGAAGGGCAAAACCTAATTTGATTTATAATAGTTTTCTCCAAAGCTGGTCGGCCGACCAGCGTTGGAAAAACACAATTTTTCTTGAAAATGTCAGCACAACAGGATCCACAATTTTACAGGATGCTGTAGACTGTCATTCCCTAACAATCCAGTAAGGTACTTTGTGATAATTTGATCATTTCGTTTTGTGATGTTTTGTAAATGTTGTATCTTCCCTTTAATGTATCCGTCTATTAATTAAATTAAGATAATTTTTATGGATGGGTTCAATTTTCTTTCGTTCAGGTGCATGTTATTCCAGACTCGACCCCAGCAGACACGAGGCAGCAGAGTTTCACAACAAAAGTCCTTCTTGGGAAAGATGAAGTAATTGTTTTCTCCTTAATTCTTGTCACACTAATGTTCACAATTATTACAAAACTTTGCACCATGTGTCATAAGGCAAGCAATGATGCAGCATAATGCTGCGATAACAGTTTTGCCAAATGTGTTGTACTCTTTCATCTTATGAGTAGTGCTTGAAATTATCAGTAATATTTTTGGCAAAATCCTCAAAGATGAGACATTCAATTCATAACAATTATTCCCATGATAGGAAAAAGAAATTAAGAAGAGAAAACAAATAATCTTTGTTATCGTAGATAAACATGATCATATTGAAGATGGCCATAGAATTTGTCATTCTGAACAGAATACTTTAACCCTAACTGCCCTGAATCCATCAAAATCCTCTTTGCCAAAGTGGAGGAATTTGGAGGATTGAGGGTACATGGCAAATGTGCGTTACTGATTTCGTAGGATGCACCATGTCAAGGTCTTGGGCAGGACCTTAGGCCTGGATTATGTTTGAAATCCTCCGTACTGCTCCAGGATGTCACTGGCCAAGCCTCAACATTTTCCATAAGGCTAATTGGAGGATTTTGCAGGATTGAGGCTATATCCTAGCAAAAAGGCCTAGGGAGTTAGGGTTAAAGATTTGTTGTTGAATTTCCGTGTTTGGGCAAAATCCTCAAAGATTGGTCATTGAAATCATGAAAATAATTCACAACTGCAGGCAGAGTATGTACATGTAGCGTACCACAGGCAGCATAAATTTCAATAACCAATCACTCACTCACTTTTTTAACATCGGTCTCGACATAATTATCACCAAATACAATTGTATCTGGTTTTGGGTTTGTCCCAGTTCCCTGTGAAAGAGTTTCTTACATAAAACTTAAAAAAAAAATGTTTAGGTGGGGGTGGGTTAAGAGTATTTTGGCATATGCTCTTACATCTTCTGACAGAAAATTTTCATTTTTGAAACTGGTTTTCTAAAACAAAAAAAACCTTAACAATCAATTTAAATTGGACACAAAGGTGCATTTTCAAGGATTGCATTAAACAAAATATACATTACGTGGGCCCTTTTATAATCAAACAAAAAATGATGCAACATAATCATATCAGGCTTCAATTCAACTAATATTTTTTTTATCAATTCCTTTTTCAGCCTATTACCCACGTCATGGCCAAGAACCTAGCAACGAAGATCTGTGAAGGGCCAGACAGTAAGCCACTCCTCCTGGCCATCGCTTTAAAGGAGCACTCCCCGTCGGTACTGAAATCCCTTCAAGAACTAGTGGTGCAGTTCCGAGTGTGGTGACATTCCCTTTAATCATGGCAGGGGTGTTCAATCTCAGCTTTAAAGCTGATTTCAGCTTTGTTTGTTTTAGATTTCAGCTTTTTTCCCTCACTTGCTGTGTGTAAAAGTATAGGAAATTTCCAAAGTTCAACTTTTGTACACCTTTTTCAGCTGTTTTCAGCTATTTTTATCAGTGGTCACTCACACCCCTGATCATGGGTGGATCCAGAGAGGTTACTGCTGGCAAGGGGGGGGGGGGGCAGAAGGGCTCTCACACTTTAAAACTTTGGGTGGGGGGGGGGGGGGGGGGGTGCCACTCCGCACCCCTGCACCCCCCTCCCCCCTTCTGGATCTGTCACTGTTAACGATTAGCGTCCACTGAGCTGCAAGGTAACAAAATAGGAAGTTGTTGCTTGTAAAATTTACTCTAGATCAAAATGTTGGATTTTACTGCATTCATATTATTGAAATAAACCACAAAGGGAAAAAGACTAGGTGAATTCTAATTTTTGAAATTCATAATTCATAATTTAAAGTTGAACAAACAAATTGACTTTTGGTACCCCGTTTTGTCAATGTCTTTATCAAGGGGTGCTAGTTAGAAGCCATTTATGCCATGTAGCCAGGGATAACGTCACCCAGCGTTACAAGGCTTGCATTATTAGCAATGCTGTCAACCTGGGAAATGGCAAACAGCAGTCACTCTGGGATACTAGCTGCTATAACCTTCCCAAATCATCCAAAATCCTCTTTGTAAAATGGAGGATTTCGCAGGATTGAGGCTATATGGCAAGAATATGTGGCTGATTTGGAGGATGCACTGTGTCAAAGTTTAAGGCCACACCTTGTATTGTTGGTGACTGCTCTATGTTCCGACACCCGTATGTTCCAACAACATAGATTGTGTTACTCCCGGTTAGGGTTAGGGTTAGGGTTAGGAATAGGAATATGTGCAGTCGGAAAATAGGGGTGTCGGAACATAGAGGTGTAACCGTATTGTTAATGCTCAGCCATTACATTTAGGCCTGGATTATACTTGAAATCCTCCGCACTGCTCCAGGATGTCACTGGCCCTGCCTCAATGTATTGAAAGTGATTGCCGGAGGATTTTGCAGGATTGAGGTATTGGTCACCCCTTAAGGACCATGCATATTTAAGAAAAATGGAGGATTTTGCAAGATTGAGGCTGTATGCAATTTTTTACATGGAGGCATGCAGTTGGAGGATTTTGAAGGATTGAAGTTACATCCTAGCAAATATGCCTAGTGAGTTAGCGTTCAGGAATTCCGATTGAAGGGTTAGATTTTGTATCATACATGCATGCAACTTTGCCTCGGATCTGATTTCCTTGTTTTTTATTTCTCATGAATACAAATTGAAAAATACTCGGTACAAAGTCTTGTGTGGTTTGGAGTTTCCTCATTTTTTCTAAATTCCCAGTTGCATGCCTGATCATATTTTTCTGTACATTGGAGAACAGCTCAATTTTCTGGTCATGTGGGAGCAAATGCCAGGTGATGTTTTCAATGATATTCAACCATTTCTCTGTCAAAAATAGTTAAATTTTAAAACAATTTTTAATTGTTAAAAAGTTGAGTTTTGTTTTCTATGCAAAGATAATTGCTTGTTTACTTTTACTGTTACTTGTTTGTTGTTACTTTATGTCTTACTTGGGTAAAATATTTTGCCATTGGGCTCTGAATTTTCAAAGCACGTGTATTTTGTGTTTATTGTGTGATTAAAAAATTGTAACAGCGCCCTCTGTTGATAGAGTTTGTTGAGTGGGTGGGGCATAAGTCAGAGCGTGCTTTTCACTATACAAACCACGTGTAATATACGTGTACGTGCTTCTGAGTCTCGCACGTGATGCAAATGTATTTGTCCTATTTGAATAAATGAAAAAAACCCACAAATTTTGCTTTGTTTTCATTTAATGGGTGTCTGTATGATAAATTAATATTAGATTGTTATACCATCAAAGGGGCGTGGCCGAAGGGCTTCGTTGAATGAAATATATTGAAAGAACAAAAAAGTGCTCTTTTATTGAAAAGACTGGAAATAATTATACATGTATGTACACTTGAGAAAAGAACAAAAACTACTGTTTGACCAAAAATTCAAGTCAACAACTGTGTTTTAATAATGAAATGTTCCTCAACGATAAAAAAAAAAAATGAGTATTTATGTTGCCAACTTGATCGCGTGGCTTAATGATAATGTGGGCGGGATTAGGGCATGTGTCGCTGCTCCCATGTTAATCAATGGAAGTCTGACTTCCGCCTCGACGAAATAATCACCTTTCCCACTGATGTAAAAAATCCACAGCCAGACTACGTGGATGATTATGCGTATGACGAACGGAGTGACGTAGGAGCGGGTACCAGGAATAATTAAACACCTGTTATTATCTACGCTGTACGTACATGTACATGTACATGAGTGTTGTGTATGTATCATGCATATGGCATATTAACGCTACAGAAACGAAACAGACTTTACGAAAGGAGTACCTCTTTTTGGATTTATTTTATTCAAACGGTGCAGTTTTAATTAATTCTAAGGTAAGTACCGTGGAGGATTATTGTTTATCCTTAATTCCCGGCAGTTAATTTTATGGTAGAATTATTCTTGTCGCCGTGGTGGAATTTTGTTGTATTCGTCATCAGTGAATGGAAATCATGCCTCGTACATAGGGAGCGTGACCGTCGATATTCGAAGGCCGTAATTTTCTACATGAATCCCCGCCCTGCATCTCACCAGTTTACCGCTGTGTTTTAACCGTCCATATTTTTGGATTACATGTATTCATATTCATGAAATTGTAGACATTATTTTTCCCACGAGAGCAAAATTTCGCTCAAATTCGAATAATTATGAATGATGAAACAAAAGGACCGACGATGGCGATTTTAATCAAAATGATTTCAAGTTTAGTTTATGTTCAAGATGGTGTGAAAACGATTCTTTAATTTCAATTTATAAATTACTTCTTGTATTTTTGTTCATATTTTAAAAAAAAAATCGTGTTGATGAAATTCCTCGGCAAAAAGGGGCGGTGAATTGAATCTTAGTATTTTTTTCCTAGACTCATCTCAAATAAATTACCTGAACGAAAACTGAAGTAATTATCAAGTGAATTTTAATATTAGATCATTTGCTGGGACGCGTGCCTTCGTTCTGTTTATATATGCAGCTTGCGGTTTCACAAATTGCTTTTCAAACTCCAGAAATAAATCACCTGTGCACTGTATATTGCAAATGCTTTCATGCAAATTACCAAAGCGGCACGATCGCAATGATGGCCAAAGAGTATAATGGGTTAAACTCTCACCCTAATTTCAATATTAAAAAGATCGGATAAGTAGGCTTGGATCGATGATGTGTATCTATGTACAGAAGCAGTGCATACTACACGGTGTAAGTGCTCAACCACCGGCCATGCTAGTGTAATATTTCTTGCCGTGTGTTTCTGGGTGGGTGTTGTAAGGGTAACCGCTGAGAAGCAACGGCCTTTCGTCTTTTCTTCCTGGGACTGTTTTTGCGAGACGGTTATATTTTTTTTTCCTGGTTCGTGGTTCGGATAATGCGACACGACGGTGGTTTGCAGGTAAGTCTTGTGGAATTGGAGGACATTGTGAGGTTTGTAGTCTGGTAAATTTAAGTAAGGGGTTGATTTTTGTTGGTCCGTTTTCATAATATAAGGAAGGCGTGCGTGCGTTAAATTGTGGGTGAATAGACTACGTTGAGTAGGCTGGACGGAAAAGTGGGCGGGACCAATTGCCAAAACACGGAGCAAAATGACAAATCCGAGTTCTCATCTTATTTTCATCTCTTTAAAATGATACCAGTATTTCACTATTTGATGTTTCGTAGTAAACAACTGGGATGTTGTTGCACCCATTTGTATATCATTTCTTGGTATATTAATTAATTTAAAGTCGTGGTGTTATGAATATTGTAGTGTAGGCTTTTTCTAACTTGATTAACATTTATTTTAAATGATTCACCCGCCCATAGATACTATTTTTTATATAAAATATTTGTAGTAAACAATTATTGGGTTAAAATTATATTTGGTAAAAAACAAATCCATCACAATCCCTGCAATTTAGTAAATATATTTTAGTTTCATTATAAATTTTTTTTTATTCAAGACATTTTTGATTAATTTGAAAATAATTAAATATCAGTTCTTGTGAGGCCACTTTTCATGATGCATATACCATGGAGCTATAAAAAGCATACACATACATGTACATGTAGTTATTAAAGGGGCACTGCGTCCTGAAATCCCCGAAAATTTCATGTTTTGGATTGAATACTTATCCTATTTCAAACATCTGGTTGAAAGGAAACCTACTTAATGTCTTACTGTTCCCAAGGAAAGACCAAAAAAACCCCGATTGTTTACATCGAACACGATGGCGTATGATACATGTTTCCTGTCGTTTTCATACAATGTACAATTCACGTTGTGTGTGTCTATAGTATTACACACGTACAGCACCGTGCTCACGAACAGCGGTGACCAATCACCAATGCACAAAATGTGATTTCTTAAACGTCTGCAAAAGGCGAACCCTTACGGCTGGAATTACAACTAGCACAAACTTTTTGGGTTCGCAAAAGTGGACCCCTCGCAAAAGTCGTTCTCGCACGAATAACACAAGAATACTACAAAAGCGCCCAGTTTTTAAAGGATAGTCGTGTGGATGTGTATTTTAAATGTTCTTTCCGATTAACATCATTTCATTCAAAATGCGTTTTGTAGCCCAATTGGGCGTATTCTAGGACGCAGTGTCCCTTTAAGAGTTTATACACTGTCCATTTCAAATAATATACGGTACTTCAATATTTACATTACCTGTCATGATTTATTGATATTTCTCATATTAGTACATGTATGTATATATGTATCATCAAAAAGTCCAAATTACAAACAACTTTGCAGATATGTTTGTTTTAGGACTTCACAATGATCGTTATGCTTCGTTATCCTTCTAAAATGTCGCATGTACACGTATGTTTCATGTACAATAAACATAAATTTGAAACTCAGTCTCTGAGTAGAACTTGCCAAAATATGCGAACAGCCAACATTTTGTTGCCACTATCCCAAAGCACAGCGGATATCCATCATCAATAATGGTATTAATTTTCAAAATTAAAATTTGGCTGGTGTCCTGGCCACCTTGGCACGTCCCGATATCCACTTGCAGTGAAATTCCTCAGATCGATTACACCAAGGTTGTCAATAGCCACCGGTCCCCGGATTATTCCAGTATGCTAATTAAGACCAAATTATGCATACAGGGTCTCTGCCATGCCAAAATCTAATTAGGGGTTACTGCATCATGTATCGGGCAGAGTGGCAAGTGGATGGTCCAATACATTGCTACGCACCGGGCAGTATTAAATTTAGTCCCTATTGATTGTGTTGTTAACCAGCCGAGGGCTCCACTGTACGCTGCTTATTTTAAAGGTAACATACAACATTTGCAAACATCAAAATAAAACTACCAAATTATTATTAATTTAAAATGCCTTACTTGACTGTAAGTAAATAATAATCTCAAGCATCCTGTGAAATCATGGCACCTGGTGTGGCTGTCATTTTTTAGAACATTGGAATTTTTGTGTCAATTTCTAAAGATGGTTGGCTGACCATCATTGGAAACAAACTGACTTTTTGCTATGAAATACTAACCCCAAATCCATCCATTTCTGAAAATTACAGCAAAAGCAAATGTTGTATATCTCCTATGCAATAATTCCAATAATGCAAATAATTCGAATTTTGTAAAGAAATCGTTAAATAAATAAACGGTGGTGGAATTTTGTTTGGTTGATGTCTCATTCAAAAGTGAATGTTTTTTTATATTGCTGTGAAAATACCAACAAAAAAAAAAAAATCAATTTTTTTGGGGTGAAAACCAAAATACATGGGAATGCATCTTTAATCATTTGGTTTCGTATGAATTTTTCCACCGGCAGTAAAAAATCAACTGACAAATAATCCAGGACCATATGGCATAATCAACTCCGTGGCACACTAGTTTTGAATTTTATAGGCAGTAGATCTAACCTGGCTGTCTGCCAAGTTGTTATATGCTGGTGATGATGTCATCCATGAATAAACAAAAGGCAGAGAGAAGACTTTGAAGATGTTACGGTTTGCTGTCATAATCTAATCCAGCTTCCACAATTAAACGTCATTAAATACTGTGGCACAGTCTGCACACTTTCTTAAAGGGAATATACATCATTGGCTTTTGCTGTAATTTTTAGAAATGAACTATTTGAGGGGTTAGTATAATAGATCAAATATTGTTATACTGACATGTTTGAAGTTTTGTATTTATTCGAAAATGCTGGAAAAACCAAGAAAAACAAAACTGGTCAAGTAGTCTGGTTCCCTGACTGCACTAAATATAAAATGGATCAATTTACAGATGCCGGAAAATTGTAGGCAAGGGTACCAGTCTAGCTGGCCTGCACCCGTTCATGAACATGTTACCAATAGCAAACAAAATTTGGACTGAATTAATGGTAAATTTGGAGCAGTAGTTGAAAAATAGTTAGGTTTTTCCAACGGTGGTCTGCCGACCACCGCTGGAAATTTTTACAAAAATACCATTTTCTTGAAAATGACTTCACACCAGGTGCCATAATTTTACAGGATGCTTTAGACTGTCATTTACCAAAATCCTATTAAGGTATTTCGCAAAACTTGGTAGTTTTATTTTTTGATGTTTGCAAATGTTGTATATTCCCTTTAAAGGTAGGGTAGATCATTTGCAGCTATCCAAAATGTAACTGACCAAATTATTGTTGAAATTTAAAGGTTTACAGACCATATTGGCAATTAACTTCCTGTGAAATTATTCTTTCTGGCATGCTGTCATTTAGAAGAAAACAGTATAAGAAGGCCATTTCCAAAGATGTGTCAAATGACGCATTTCTGGAAATTTGTGTTAGTAGTTGGTCTGTAATTGCCGAATCCATGAATCTTTTTAAATTGAAAAAAAAATGCCATTCAGAAATTTGGTCGCTAATCGGATTTGAATATTCTAATACTGCCCTTAAACACAAAGCCCCCCCCCCCCAAAAAAATGCTTAAATATTTTTGTTTGGAGAAGTTATTGCTTTGTAATGGAGAATAGATTCATTGATTTAATTATTTAATGAACAGATTCACTAATGCAGTTGCTTTATTTGAGAGAATGGTTCACGGTCTGACCACATTTAATGACATTCTGTAAATGTACCAGAGAGCATCTGAAGTGGCTGAATTTGTACCAATCAATGTACATGTACCAGTGTGGCGGCTGGGAGTTGTTACCTTAATTTTATGGTGTTAAAATGCCGACTAGAATGCACTCCACACGAAGACACGCTAATGGAAAATGGTAAGCCTACTGGCGTCGCAGTGTATGCCTACATGCACCTCCCTGTCAGATCTATCTGGTTGCCTAGCAACATGCACAAGCCTAAGTCAGGGGGGGGGGGTGTCGTAGCGTATTTGTGGATAAAACACACATCCATTACGGTGCAGATTATCTTTGGGATGTTGTCCAGCAATTGACTGTCGGTAATCAGGAATCACTGATAGCGGGCCCAGTAAAGCACCCTGTAGGGCAATGTATCACTGTGTGTCCGCTATCTTGTTTTGTTCCAGGCGATGTTTAAATCTCTGTTGGGCGATACAGCACACGGTCTCCCGATTTTTAAAGCAGTCCTGTCTTGAAGTTGAATGTACTTAATGAACAACTCTAGGATTTTTTCATCCGAGCAAACCGTTCTCATAGTCTCATTTGACTGCTCATAGTGTACATTTGTACATAGATATTATCAGCTAGTTAGCCAATTCAAGACAAGGACTACATGTATATCTTGAATATACCAAATATTCGATCATCGACTGACAAGGGCGTCAATCGCTTCTCAAAAATGGGGGGGGGGGGGGGGAGGGAGAACATACCTTGATCAGAACTAATGCGAGCGAGAAGCCATAATGGCAATTTTTGATTCAAGACACTCCTTGGGGCGATCTGAGGCAATTTCTGACCAATTGAACTAATTTTTTGAGCAAAAGATCATCATTTAAACATCAAATGTAGGCTACAATTTTTATTTGGGGACAAAAAAAAGGGGGGGGAATGATATGATTATGGACATTCAATTGTTGGGGGAGGAGACATGTTACCCCCGTCCCCCACTGATCGATGCCCCTGTCAACCGAATATTAGAATAGTTTATTGCCTGTTGGAATATTCAGGGGGTGGGTGGGGGGGGGGGGGAAGCATGCGCGCACGTACATGACAACAATACGTTATTTTAAACGTAATGTTTGTAACTGTATTGTCAAATGCCACTTTGCTGTTGATGGTAACTTTTTATGTCAACAGTGGTTCATATTGCTCGCATCTTTTTAGCATGTTAAAGCCCTTGACAGATAATTATACTGCAAAACAATCCAGTGGCACGACACGCAGATGCGGCTCTTGCGTGTAAAACTTTATCGGAGAGTCTCAAATATTTGGTCAAACACAGTTTCAAATAATCAAATACTAAATTACTTGAAAGTGGTCATCCCAAAGGATTTGACTATACTGAATTTGCGTTTCATACGATCACAAGTCTTGGTTGTAACATAGAGTTCCTTGCTCTGTGGTTGTATACTTTGGGTTTTTATTGATAATAATAATGGCGTCTTGTATAGCGCTCATGTCCATCACGAAGTGACGCTCCTGGCGCTCCTATTATTACCCTGGCTTAAGCACGGCTCAAGCATTGAAGGAATTTCTTCCTACCAGGTACCCATTTACTACACCTGGGTGGAGAGAGGCAATCGTAGTAAAGTGCCTTGCCCAAGCGCACAAGCACCATATTCCCCGTCAGGATTCGAACCCATGTACCACGGCACACGAGTCGAACACCGTAACCACTGGACCACAGCACCCCACTGAAATGTTTACACTTCCAATCCAGATTTCACCCTAATTAAAACTAGGTCAGTGTATGGGTCTGCTTTTAGTAATGGTTTTGCCACATAAGTGGTAAGAAAAATGGTAAGTGTGCTTGATGGCGTGGACGATACCTGCACAAATGAAGATTAGTCACATGAGGCTGCGGAAACTGGTCTGTGTACCAGTAATAAAAAAAATCTGATGATTAATGCATTCATTTACACCAAAAACTCGTGCCAGTATATTTGGCCTTGACTTGAAGACTATGTTCAGGCAGATTTGTGTTCTGTTGGAAAGGGTTGGTGTTGCTGAAGGATTGGTGTTTATTTTGTAATTTCAGTTATTGATATGTAAAAAAAAAAGGGGAAAGTCTGTCACGAGCCAATGTGGCTCATGGCGTTTATCTCCGGTTTCAGTAGCATATGAAATGACCAAGAATACTTCTACTCCCCCTGGACAGGATGCTAGTCCATCGCAGGTTACTCTCCAGCTATTATGCTGGTACCCATTTATATTCCTGGGTGGAGAGAGGCAAGTGAGAGTGAAGTGGCTTGCCCAAGGACACAACGTATGACGCAACATATATGACACAACATATGACACAACATCTGACCTGGAATTTTGTACATTAGGAATGAAGAGCAGGGGATATAACCCATTGACATTTTCAGCATCATTCTTAACCCTAACAGAACTCAACCCATCAAACCCCAATGGCATGTTTTATTGGAATCTGTCTGGATGGGTACAGTACCCCTAAACTGACAGTCTTTTACATTGGGCCGGCACACCTCCAGAATCAAAGTCAGAAATAGTGTGTGCAGTTTCCCATATGGTGTTGGGATTTGCCAGGATGGGTATGGTTCCTAGTAAATCATGCTAGGGAGTTATAGTAAAATGTTTTCAAACAAAACCACCCAAAGAAACAACAGTTATAGTTTTATTTGTTTCGGTTGTTTTTAACATGTAGATGGCGTCCGCAGGAGTTGACAACAGATCGTGGCAAAAAGACGCCGCCGACCAGAACTTCGACTACATGTTCAAATTGCTGATCATCGGCAACAGCAGCGTAGGCAAGACATCGTTTCTCTTCCGGTACGCCGACGATTCCTTCACGTCGGCGTTCGTCAGTACGGTGGGCATCGACTTCAAAGTCAAGACAGTCTTCAGATCAGATAAGAGGGTCAAACTTCAAATATGGGTGAGATTTGTTGTTTTTGAATTTTTGTCATGTTTTTGCACAGTATATATTTTGTAACGAAGGATTTTCCATCTTTGATGTAGTCAGAGCTCTGAATTGATATATTCCTCAACCTTAACCCTCCATAATCCTCCATAATCCTCCATAATCCTCCATGGTCCTCCATGCAGTTTTTGAGGATTTTGCAGGATTGAGGCTGAATGGCAAATAACATGTCAGTTGATTTTGGAGGATGCATTGTGTTGAGTTAATGTAGGCTGTATACCCAGCATTGCTTATGTTCAGTCATGCATAATTGAGCCCTGCATTTTGCTTGCTATCATCCGCACTGCCTCTGAATGTTATCGGCACTGCCTCAACCCGTTACCTGTGATTGTTGGAGGATTTTAAAGGACTAGCGCAGTGCCCAGTCAAAACGTGCCTGTTTGAAATGGGCAAATTGCTTGGTCTCCCGTAAACATGCAAACGTGGCAGTATAGAGTGCAGTGCCCGTATAAATAAGAGCGCGCCATATCTAAACCTCACCGTTGCGCGATCGTGCCCTTCAAAAAATGATCGAGGCCCACCTCACCATTGTGCGATCTTCCTGCCTTCATGGTGTAGGCCTCCGAAAATGCTGCTTTTTTTTGCAGCTTCTTGGAGAACCGCTCATCCAAACAACTTCAAACTTGACACTGCACATTCTGGGGGTCCTGAGCAATACACCTAGCGATTGTCCTTTTCATGCAATGCCCGGTTCTGGAGATAATCGAAGTACAGACAAACAGACACACAGAGATTCCTGGAATTGTAGTAAGATTATTGTAAGATTGAGGCAGTGGTCACCCCTCCACTGAACACATCCAAGAAATAACCGATGATTTTGGAGGATTGAGGCTGAAAACGCCTAGGCCCCAAAAGGGCCTAGGCGTTTAGAACAATTGCAAAGTTGAACAAAGATATTGACTGGAGTGGTGTTTGAACCTGCAACCTCCGGATTACCGTTCCTGCACTCAACCAACTTGAGTGACCCCGTTTGCTATTTGCCAGTGTCAGCAAAATCAGTCTCGGCAAAAAGATTCCTTTCTAGTTGTTAAACTCTTCTGCGTCAATTATTGACATTGATAGAATCAGTGGGCTAAATGTGACAAGTTCAATATTTACCCCGGCACGGTGCGTATTTGCGGAGTGAGATTGGTCTTCACGTACGTAGGTGTGAAATGCAATTCGTTCTGAACACTTTGCCAGCGTAAATTCATGGTCTAAGTAGAATTATAGTGAAACACTGCTTTGCCAAATGTTTTGCTGCATGGAGCATACTCTAATTGGCCTCTAAATTGCAATGCAAAACATTTATTTCTAAATTACTTGATACCCCTTTGAAGGTTATCTTATACGAAATAGAGTTTACATTTTGTTAATCCTAAAAAAAATAGTGTGTTTCTGGTAACCTGCCCTATATACCTGGATTTTTTAGGCCAAATTACCAATTTCAAACTTTCTATTGCCACATTTGGCCACAAATTTAAAAACAAAGTGCAGTTTGAAAATGAAAGGTCTTCCCTATGCAAGATTTTGTGTGTTTTCTGAGTTAATTAGTTAATTAAACACCTAAACAGGTTAATTAAACAGAATACTGTGGAAGGTATCCCAAAGTAACAAAGTAAGTATCAAAAGATCATCAGACAGGCATAACAAAAATTTAAAAAAAAATTATTTTGCTGGCTACCAGTACCTAACCTGGATATTTTTTAGGGTGTTACCATAAACACACCCCAAAAAATGTTCTCGGTCTCAAGCCTATTCCTACTTCACACAAAAGCAAGTGCGAAGCGAAATCCATGTCATCAATAAGGGTGGATGGGCTTCGAATATTGTTGATTGCTGAATTTCGCTTCGCTTTTGCGTGAAGTATGAACCGGGCTTCCTAGAACAAATTAGGGTTTTTATTTCTAAAATTATACCTTTGTGGTATATCAGTTTACAATTGTACGCGTACATATTATAATGCGACATTCACAGAAGCCAACATTTAATATGCATACATGCAGTGCGTGCTTCGTTTGCACCCCGTTACCGATTCACTGGGTTTCATGTGAGCTTGAGATTGATGATGATTCATTCCACTCCAGCCCCCGTCCCATTATACATTGCCAATCCTCGTCTTGTATCCTGATATCCTGAGGTGTAGACGTAGCATCTAAGATGCGCATCTCCGGTATACTGACCTCCCTCAGGCAAGGCAGGTACACGTCTGAGATGCTGGTTCGTCTTCTCTCGTTCGTGTATGTTCCGTAATCATGACCCAACTGGAAAACAAATTTGGCTGCCCTTTTTTTTTTGGTAGCCCTATCTCTTTAGCATCTTGACAAGTTGATTGGGTTTTTTTAAAAAGAATTTTAGGGTTGAAATTTCAGGTTTTGAGCACATATGTGACAGACATGTACTTTGGTAATGCTTAAATCCCATTAATTAATTAATTAATTAACTAATTAAGTTAACCCTAACATTCTCAAATCCTCCAAAATCCTCCAAAATCCTCTTTGCAAAATGGAGGATTTTGCAGGATTGAGGCTATATATGGCAAAAGTGTGCGACTGATTTTGGAGGATGCACTGTGTCAAGGTCTTAGAACGGACCTTGTGTTGTTTATGCTCAGCTGTGCACAAATTTAGGCCTATATTATACTTGACATCGTCCGCACTGCTCCAGGATGTCACTGGCTCTGCCCTAACATATTGACAGAAGTAAGTGATTGCCTGAGGATTTCGCAAAATTTAGGCTGTATGCTTTTTTTACATGGAGGCAGTTGGACAATTTTACAGGATGGAGATTTATATCCTAGCCAAAATGCCTAAGAGGGAGTTAGGATTTTAAAGTACATGTAGCACATTCCCTTTTCCAAAATTGAAGATAATTAAATTAAAATACAAATCTAAGGCCAAAAAAAAAAAAAAGTTCTGCTCCCGGTTTCCTACCTACCCTATTCTGACAGCTCCTACCCTAATTTTTTTATGGGAAAAATGAGAAGAAAAAAAACACCCAAAACCATCACTTTATACCTTTACCCTTGACTACACGCAGATGCCTCCATATATGATCATACACAAAAAATTGGCAAAAAAAAAAAAATTCCCTACCTACCTACCCTATTTTCAAATGCCATCAATTTCTACCTTTACCCTTGACTACACGCAGACGCCTCCATAATGATCACACACAAAAAATTGGCAAAAAAAAAAAATTCCCTACCTATTTTCAAATGCCATGTAATCGGAAGCAGAATTTTTTTTTTTTCTGACCTAAGGAAGAAACATTTATATTTTCATACGTATTGTAGACCTTGAAGAAAGGATAAACATGATATATTTTTTACATGGCATTATATATATATATCGTATTTTACTGTAACCAAAGACGATAAACATGATAAATAATACACTACGCTGACGTGCTCTATTCAAGGAAATGTCAAGCCAGCCCCGTGGTGGAGCGCGCGCCGGATTTTTAATCAAACACGACTCGCCTGTCTCGTCCCGTCCTTGCCGTTTGCCGACGACGGAGCCAAGCGAAAGGAAGTCGAGGTCAATCATAGAATGTCCTCCCTGCTCACGTTTATGGAGCTTACCCGAGTAAATTTACACAAGGTTCTTCTTTTTTTCCTTTTTTTTTAGCATGACGTACAAATTGGATGATCAATAATGACGAAAAACACCTCTGTAATTACAGAATTGAATCTGCGTGGGAGGATGTTTGCTGGCACGGTCGTTTGTTCTCTGTGATTTTTGTTTTCAAGAATCTACAAAACCTGACATGTTAAAGGCATGATTGTTTGCTTTTCATGTACAGAGAAATCTCAAGAAGTCAAATTCTGATAACTCAGAACAACTGTTAAGTCAAACCGAGGATCCATTGCCTTCAGTAGTATAACAATGATATACAACCCTGCTTGACTCAAAACTCTGCTTAAGTCAAATTTTGAACCTGTTCCCTTGAGGTTTGACTTATTGAGATTTCACTGTATTTTGTTTGTTTTCCAATAATAACACCACTTGAAATCCAGTGAAGATTGTTCAAAACCGAACCTGTTGAAGTTTCAGCCCAGTGGATATGTTGTACTTTTCGAGAAAACAGTGAGAAAAAAAACATACACACCCTTTTGATCGCGAAACATGCCTTCGTTCATAATTACTCTTTATTTCCAAAAATCAGTCAATTGTCTGATTGTGGGAAGTTACCCACATTTCTTGATTTCTTCTAAATGACAGCAAGCCAGACGGAATAATTTCACGGAGTGTTTAGTACCAATCCGATCTTTAATCCAAGTTAAGCTTTTTGATAATAATTTGGTAGGTTTGTTTTAGGATAAATGCAAATGATCCTATATGCCTCTAATAGATCATTGCATTTTCCCCATTATTTGGAAATACAATTCATCTCAATTTGAGGCTTTATTTGTAAAAACAAGTTTTGATGAAGATTGATACGAGGAATCCAACTGAAGAATTACGATTAGTTGCCAGGCAATGTAATGAAAAATGTATCGAGGGCACCCACCACCTCTAGCCAGATGATTCAGTGGTTGAGTCATCTATTTTCATTCACCAGTGTATCATCATGGTGTATTTTTTTTTCATTGTAATAACATTCACTCAGCTGCTGTGTAGCTACTGTGCAGTGTGTATATTGGTACAATGTAACACAATGTAATACAATGTAATACAATGTAGTACAATGTAATACAATGTAATACATTGTAGTACATAACAGGAATTATAATTACTTTTTATTACTTCCTTTCACTATGGTTACACAGATCCTTCAGGACACTCGGCCTGACAGGTTGAGATGTGGGGAGATTTGAGTGGCAAATCTATTTTATGAGGACACTGTCTTCCTCATGGGATATAGGGGGATGTATTTAACATGGTGTCTAAACATAAATCGGGGATGAAGGAGATCCAATTTGGACTGTACAGTTTGAGTAAAAAAAGAAAGTGACCTGGATTAATGATTTTTTT